TTTTTTGATCCACCTCCTAGGGTAATGAAAATAAAAGCAAAAATAAACAAATGGGACCTAATTAAACTTAACAGCTTTTGCACAGCAAAGGAAACCATGAACAAAATGAAAAGACAGCCTACAGAATGGGAGAAGATATTTGCAAATAAAGCAACTGACAAGGGATTAATCTCCAAAATATACAAATAACTCATACAGCTTAATGTCAAAAAAACAAACAACCGAATCAAAAAATGGGCAGAAGATCTAAATAGACATTTCTCCAGAAAAGACATACACATGAACAAAACACACATGAAAAGATGCTCAACATCACTAACGATCAGACAAATGCAAATCTAAACGGCAGTGAGGTATCACCTCCCACCAGTCAGAATGGCCAACATCAAAAAATCTACAAACAATAAATGCTAGAGACGGTGTGAAGAAAAGGGAACCCTCCTACACTGTTGGTGGGAATGTAAATTGGTACAGCCACTATGGAAAATAGTATGGAGGTTCCTCAAAAAACTAAAAGTAGAGTTGCCGTATTATCCAGCAGTCCCACTCTTGGGCACGTATCTTGTGAAAAGCATAATTCAAAAAGATACATGCACCCCAATGTTCACCGCTGCACTATTTACAATAGCCAAGACATCAAAGCAACCTAAATGTCCATCAACAGAGGAGTGGATAAAGAAGTGGTACATATATATACAATGGAATATCACTCAGCCATAAAAAAGAACAAAATAATTCCATTTGCAGCAACATGGATGGACCTAGAGATCGTCATACTGAGTGAAGTAAGTCAGACTGAGAAAGACAGCTATCATGATATCGCCTATGTGTGGAATCTAAAAAAATGGTACAATGAACTTATTTACAAAACAGAAATGAAGTCACAGATGTAGAAAACAAACCTATAGTTACCAGGGGGGAAAGAGGGAGGAGATAAATTGGGAGAACACGATTGACACATACACACTACTATATATAAAATAGATAAGTTATAATAAGGACCTACTGTGTAGCACAGGGAACTCTACTCTCTACTCTGTAATGGCCTATATGGGAAAAGAATCTTTAAAAAAGTGTGTATATTTATACGTATAACTGATTCACTTTACTATACACCTGAAACTAACACAACAATATAAATCAACTATACTCCAATAAAAAGTAAATAAATAAATTACAGGCAACACAAAGAAGGTTATAGGACAAAATTTAGAGAAATATTTAAAATGTGCATATGAACAAAAAGGTTATATTTGGAACCATGGGTCAGCATAATTTTAATATTCCAAATTACACTTTCCAAGCTAAAAAAACATTACTTCCCATTTTGTATTCATGCTTTTTTTCCCTCCTGTTGTTAAAAGAGGTTATTAATGCAAGAGACTCTGATTACTCTTAGCCCAAACCGGGGAAATGATACCTGTGTTTCATTTTGGAAGTTCTTTGGAAATTCCTCTTCCTGCTTAGGTTATTCTCAGTTTTTCTTTGTGCTATTTAGGAAATCTTAAAAATAACTAGGACTTTAAAAGTATGAGTCTTCAAGCAAAGTTACATTCTAATAAGCAAAGTTCAAATTCCATCTTTGCCACTTACTTGTTTTCTCCTCAAGGAGCCTCCCTCACATCTTTAAAGTGAGAGATTAGATCAGTGTTCTCCAAAAAGTATAAATTAGGTCTCCAGTGCTGAGCTAGGATTTACCACCCTGCCCCGGAGGTGGGGTGGGGAGGGTGGTCAAAACTGGTTTTAAGAAACACTGCTTTAAGCTAAGTGAAATGCTTGCTTAATTGCAGCTCTCTTCAAAGCAGTTAATATGCTAGTGGCCGTGACCTCCTCGAGGGCCAGATAGATAGATACTTCCTGAAACATTTGACTGTGTGCTGCCCTCCTCCTTTGGAATGCTAAACAAACAAACAAAAAATTAACAAATTATTAAAGAACTAAGCAAAATTTTTATTGTCAGCATGATGATTATTTTGATACTAATTTAAAAGATTACATTTTTTCAGACACAATTTTTTTTCCATTGATACCTTTCTTTGTTGGTGCCCTAACCGCACGTTTAGTTTACTATGGGTAATCCAGTAGTGGGAGTATAGTGTGCAGATTTTCCACACTCTGGATCACAGAATCCCTCTTTTCACATGAAAATTTGTGAAGCTAATCTGTTAGAAATGACTCGGGAATATTGCACCCTTAGATCATCTTTAAGACTTCTTCTAGCCTAAAAGTCTAGAATTCTAAGATGATGATTTGCTACTTTTTAATATATCCACTCTGCTTTATGGGGGAGTAGGCACGGGGAGGATGGAGAATGAGAGTATTCAGAATGACTCTGTGATCTTAAATTCGGTCAAACTCTCAGTCTTCCAACCTTCACACTGACCTTAGAAGGCCTTTATCTCAACCCCAATATTGTTGGTCTTTTTAATTTTTCAGGTCTTCTCTGTCTAACTGAACTGTCATGACACCAATTGCCTATAAATCGTCAGTACGGTAATGAGCAAATTATATGCCCTTGATTACCATCCTTACATGTCCTTTAAGCTTGTGAATAATAATATATTTCTATTTGCACAGTACTTTACAGTTTGCAAATGATTTTCATGATCATGCTCTCATTCACACAAATTTCTTTTTACATTGCAATTCATTGTTTTTAAAATAGTCTCACTGCACAACTTAAAATGTTCTTGTTGCTCCTGATCACAGCCTTGACACTTTGAAAGCCTGCTGTTTTTATGAATGCCAGTGCATGACATAAGCATTATGTAAATGTGCACTTTCACACTTCATTAGAACAGAGAAGGTGCACAGGAGTGAATTCAGTTCTATTAAATAGCAACACCTTTTCCCTTCAAACTTCAGCTAGCCATCATGAAAATGTAAAGTACAACCATTTATTTCTCCTCATTTGTTTTCATGTAGCAGCGAGACCACTTGAAGGATGAAGCAAGTGATGGTAGGAGGATATTGGAAACATTTGTGTAAGGTTATAAAACTTGAAAGTAGCTCCAGCCTCACTCATAAATACGGATGCTTAGATACCAGCCCATGTGACACACCTGAGCAGTGAGGGGGTTCTGTGTCATGTAGTCCATTGACTAAGACAGCATTCACTGAGCAGCTCTGATGGAGATTCATGCTGTATTAGGCATTTTCTGCTCAATGCACAATACCAGGGTAGAAGATGGGAGTGGGAGCAAAGAATAGACCAAAAAACAAACATAAAAACACACACAAAATGTTGTTCCCATAACAAGATAGATTTTTAGAAGTAAATGGCGTAAACCTAAACTTTGAAAAGATGTACAGAGAGATCAAATATATACCATGGTTCCCATGACTACTACTACTAAAATTTCCCTTACTGTTGCTGCTATTATGAAAATTTTGATTGCTTTTATTCTTAAAAGGAACCCCACTTTCTTGCATAACACAGAAATAACATATATTTCTAGAGACTTAAACTCTTGGTTAAAAATGGAAATATTCACTCTATCAGTGAGTTGCTTTCCTTACATGATTCTAGGAACAAATTACCCAGGTTTCTAACAGCTATAGCTGAGACATATGAGGGCTTTTTGGAAATTAGAAAAAGGAAACCCTCAGGCTAACTGTCAAAACATCCCAGGCTAGTTCAAAACATTGTTGAGGGCTTTTTGTGAATTTGAATAAGGGCCACTTGCTCAGGGCAAATGCAGCCCTGCACCAGAGTACACAGCTTGGGGAACAGACCATGGGCTAAAATCAGCCCCCAGGCACTCCTTCGGCCAAGCATCCTGTGCAGTGAAACACCTGGACAACTCTACCCAGCAACACTGAGGTTTCTTTACTAAATTAAGCAACTGGGCACCAGAAGAACCCACAGAACACTGAGGGAAGAAGGCTTCATCTAAATAGGACCTACAGATAGTTTGAAGCATCTTCATTTTAAAAGATACCCCTGAAATTCTTGAGCTAAATTCTGATCTGTGGGTGGAAGAGATAAGAGTAAAGATCAACCGACTATTAGCTCAGCCCTGCCATATAGATGGGGCAGAATCAGAAGAGATTATGTGGGCTGGGCTGGCAAAGTGACATATAATAAAAATAGCATTTGTCTTGTTAAACACCTACAAAGTGCCTACCAGTCTGCCAGACTCCTGGAGAGTAAAAAGTAGAAGTAAAATATAGTCCCTGCTCTCAAAATTTTAAAACCTTGCTGAGATAGAGAAGCAAGGAAGAAGAAAAGAAATTGGAAAGTGAACGAAACTGCATTGCCCTCTTACCTGTCTTACTTCCATAAGCCTTCTGCTTATGTGGATACACTTAATGAGCTCTGTGAGGTAACAAAGAATCAATTGCTGCAGATGTAAGCTCTTGCATACAGGATGGATAAACAACAGGGTCCTACTGTATAGCACAGGGAAGTATATTCAATATCCTGTGGTAAAGCACAATGGAAAAGAATATTTAAAAGACGTATGTGTATATGTATATCTCAATCACTTTGATTTCTGCTGTGCAGAAATCAACACAACATTCTAAATCAACTATACTTCAATTTTAAAAAAGAAAACATACAACCCATTGCTATATCCTGGGTACACAGTAGGGAATCACAGATTGTTTGACTGAGTTTGGGATGAATCTCATGGGAGTTCTGAAAGGACAGAATTACTCAAGGAATTTATGGGGGAGCTAAAACATAAGCCAAGCATTGAAGAATACATTCCATGAACATAGGAAATATCGTTTGTCTAGATATATTTGTATATTTACAACTGAAAGATATTCTTGATCTATTAGCCATGCTATTTAATATAAACAAACTCCAGCTCAAATATATATTTGTGTGAAAGTGGCAGAATTTGACACTCTCCTAAGCCCAATGTGCTTTTATAACTGTTATATTGAAAGAGCTTGGTAGCTTTTAGAGAGCGCTCACTGGAAAAGAGCACAGAAGGTGATTTCAGACTTGTTTTGGTGTAATGACCCCTCTTATCCCATTGTTTTCACAGACCATAAACAAGACCGAACGAAGAATGTCCGTCTGAAACTCTGCCTTGAATGAAGAAACTTCATTGAACAAGAAGTTGGCTTCCAGTTTTGCACAGGCGTCGATGGAATGCTTTTTTTTTTTTAATTTTCTACTTTACAATGAAAACAACGTGTTTTTATGTGCTGTGCAAGTGGTTCCTTCATGTGGTCTGACAGTTTATTTTTTCCATCATTCTTTTTAAAGAAAAAAAATATCCCAGAAGAGGACAACAAGCAAACAAGCAAACAAAGCAAAACATGGAAGGTTGACATTTATCTGGAAGAACATTTGAATTCAGAATTTATCTGAAGGTGTAGATAGATTTTTTTTTTTTTAAAACGGAAAATCTGATGTCAAGAGGTGGGCAAGCAGAAATGGAAACAAATTGTCTTCCTCAGTAATTAAGCTACTCTTTCTTTTTCCCTTCTTGTTTAAATCTAGTGGGTTGGTTTTTTTTATTATTTTTTTTCTTAGAAATATTTAGGTAAGGTTTATCTTGAATCTTAATTGCCTTAATTTTAAGGACGTCAAAGGCTCTCGAGGCAAGCTCTCACGTCTTGTTTAAAAAAAGAAAGAATTGAAATATTGTGCCAGCTTTCACTGGTACAGAAGTTTAAGACTATGAGTTTTTAGGGTGAAAAAAAACTGTACAGTTTAAAAGAAAATGTTTTTCTTCATTTGAAGAAAATTTGTTGATAAAAGAAACCATGGCAACTGCAAGAATTGGGAAAATGCTGGGACTTCTCATGAACTTTGTCTTAAGTGTTGAATCATACTAGAAGGCTAAAACATTTTACGGTAAAGTTATTAACGTTGGTTTCAAAACAACTGCATTAGAAATAATGCGTGTTTGGGGGGCAGAATGCAGATTTTTTTATTTCTGAAGCGTGATGGCTAGCAAAAGCTTTAGTGCTTTTTATCTGCAGTCTTTTTTATGAGCTTTACAAACTTTTTAGTCAGCTTTGCTTGTCACATTGCAAAACCTAGCTTAAGAGCATTAAAAAAAACAAGTAGATAGGAGCTTATGGTCAAAACGTGAAAAAAAAAACAAAACAAAAACAAAAAAAAGCAATAGATAGAGAAATTGTTGACAATTTCTGTAGTCTTTCCTAGTTGTGATCAAATTCAGCCTATGGATGGCCTATTTTATACCAAAGATGAAGTGGCACCCTATTGCAGTCCAGAAGATAGAAGTTGTTTTTCTTTTCTTCTCTTTTCTTTTTTAAAATTTTATTTGACCTACATGGCCGGACCAGTTCTTACTTTGTTGTTTAAACTACCTTCCACTGGTGTTTTACATACTGCAAAAAAAAAAAGTTTTTATTTTAAATGTATTTTTGTTGATAGTAGAAGCTTGTTCCTGTGTGGTCAGCAATTTCAGCACCAAGAGTTCTGGATTCCAACCAATAGAGGCAAATGGCTTTAAATTTCATGTGCTTTTCTGGTTCCTTCCTAGCTCTCTTGAATTGTAAAGCCTGTATTGATGGCCACCAATGAGCTAAAACACTTGTTTAACAGGTTGAAACTTCTTTATATGAATTTTGAACTCAAGATACTCCCTGAACTGGTCTGAAAGATCACTTGTCAAAAAAGCTCAGTGATGCTCTGTTGATTGGTGAGTGGTCTCCTGAAAAGGTCTCACTGTATTTGTAACAATAGTCTTCCTTCTAAATTCCCGCACTTCTAGATTTTGCCTTCTCGCCTCAGTCTTTGTCATCATCTACCATGAATAGCCACCTTGACTCTGCAGTTGGGGAGGGGATATCTTTTTTTTTTCTTTTTTGCCTCTTTTCATTGTATTTTCATATCCTGGTGTCGTCAGAAGAAAGAGAAAATAGACTTTTTAATTTCAGTTTAGCTCCCTGAGGCAAACAGGACCAATAAGATTGAGGATTCTATTAGTGGAATTTAGGTAAGCTTTTAATGCTAGTTGACAATCAAATTGTATGATTTATATGAATAAGAACCTAAATAATTAGAGTTGATCAATTATTAAAGCCAAAGGCGATATATTTGCATTGAGAGTGATGCAAAACATTGTCTAAAATGAATTAAATTGACTTACCAAACATCTCTGCATATTTGAGTCATGAAATCCATGTTCAACCTATACAGTTTTACCTGAAATGAAGGACAGTGGAACTTTGTTAATTGACCCATGTGCTAGAATGGCTTTCTAATGTATCATTAGAATTAATAGGTGAAATTCTTCTCACAAAGTCACAGGAACCTGTCTTAGTCCAGAAGGAAGAGGGTAATGCATACAGTGCACTGTAAAAGAAAACAGGGTAGGTGTTTAAAAACTAAAACATTAAAAAGTAAAGCATATTCCCATTAGGTCAACATGAGTAATGAGTTTGACTCATAAAAAAATAATCAATATTCTACTATTTATGACCTGTAAACAAAGGCCTAGTGTTGAAATAAATCCAATTCTCTTATTTGAAAAACCCCATGAATTGAAAGCTCATTATCTAGAGAGTGATTCCATATCTTTGTGGTCCAATCAGAGGCAAAAATATAGCTAAGGCAATGTAGCATGTGCTACGAAAAAGTTTCAACTGGTCACAGCCATCCTTATGGTTTTCCATACTTTAGAGAGAATCCTAAATTTATACTTTCTTCTGTTCCATTTTTCAGCTTTTTTCTGTTCCATTTTTCAGCTTCTCATGTATTTTAAGGGTGGCACTTAAGTTTTCTCTTTGAGAAATGGGCCCCCAAGTTACTGGGGGATGAACAAACCTGTATAGGAGCTGTGCTTTTTGTTTCTCTTTTTCAGTCTCTGAACTCTTTGTATAAATAAGGATTATCCTGGGCATAATTCATTTGAATATGAAATCAACATGCTTTCTTTTTCTTCTGTAAAAAAAGAAAACAAAACAAAACAATGTGATACAAAGAAAGTCTCATTTACACAATCAACAATGAGACTAAGAGGTAGCTACCATGTGGCTGATGAATGTGCCTAGGTAACTTCCTGTTTCTATTCAAAACTACTGCTTTATTTATACATTCAGCAACATTTTTTTCAACTATAAAATTTCAATAATCTCAATTTTTTTAAACCACTTCAGGCAAATTTTATCATTTTGCCTGTGTCATTTTATGTGTCCATGTGTGCTTTGTGTTTGGATTTTTTATATTAGGCTATTCTGTAAACTATTTTAAACCTAAAAGGAAAAAAAAAGAAGGAAAAAGTGGCACATGTTCAAATTTACACATCATCTCACCTAAAAATTGTTTTTAAGAATCAAGTCTGGGGCAAAAAGAAAAGCATCAACAGGTAAGCACTGTATGAAAAGTAAAACAAACTTTACTTTTCATACTTTACAGTGTATGAAAAGTAAAACAAACCAAAACGTGTGTTCAGTACATACAGACATCAGAGTCCTAATTTAATCACCAATATAGATTATGATGACTTTAACCCAGTTTAGGACTACAATCATTTTTTAAAGTATTCTGTTTCACAATACTTCAAGCATTTATTCAGATGTTTCCATGTTTCCTTTCAATTGTAATTGCCAAGACTTAGCCTAAATGTCCTGAAACAAACTAAAACCACAATCCAAATGGGATAAAAATCATCTCCTCCAAACTCTAGTTCCATGGTCAGTGGAGGAGTAGGTATTCTTTTAATAACGAGGAGGTATTGTCAGGAAGGAAGTCTGTATAGTGACTGAGAGCTCCTTAGAGCATGGCCATGTCTTCTGAAGACATCATGAAACCTAGGTGAACTAAAGGTAATACTTGGAGGGTGGGAGCCTGTTTGTCTTTCAACACGGGCATGTCTTGAATATTGCAAGTCACATGCTATTCTAAAAATAATCTACCTGACTGCAGTTTGGTCAGGGTTAGTTTGTTTCCTTGGTAGATTTCAATCATTCAGATGTTGTTGCCATGCTTCACTTGAATCAATTCTCATGTGACCTTAACATCTGCCACATTTGACAGCATATAAGACTCACTTCCATCCCTCCTAATGAAAAACTACATGGTGTTAAAAGCATCTGTATCAGAGATGGAAAGCCCAGGGCAGGAGAAGGCTAGGTGGAACAGGAAGTTTGCTGTACCTACAGAGTCCATCAACCCCTTGCAAAACTGTTTTATAATCACTTTCAGTCCATGTATGAGAAAATAAAAGTACTAAAAGTACTTAGTTTTTTTTAACTTTATTTGAATAATTGGGGTGTCTAATACACACACACACACACGCCCACGCCCACGACCACCTATGAGTCTTTCACAGTGGCCTAAAATTCCAATTAATGAAAGTTGAGATGTGATTATGACCTTTGCAGTCTTCTTTAAGCTCGAGAAAAAGTTTCAATGGACTGTCTAGACAGATTATAATCTTAGTAGGAGACTGAAAATACATTTGACAATTCAGTCTCATTCTAATCTGAGTGCAGGAACCACTGCAAGATGAGCTGATCAGCCGAGAGAAATTTTTAAGTGGGTTTCAGTGATAAATGTTTTTATATGATATAAAACCAAATGAAAGTATAATATTTACGTAGGTATATAACAACATTCAGCACATTGGAAGAATCACACTTCATAATCAAGTTTAAACATGTCATAGAGCCTTGATCTATATTCTCTTGTCCACAGTAGGGAGTAAGGATGAGATTTTGTTTTTCATGTTATTGTGACTGGCATGCTTCAAACTTCTGAGCTTGCTGGGACTGACATCCCCTCATTCCAATTTGAGGGACTAACGGGCTTGAAACAGGCTTGTTGATCCTGTGTATGATACCCCTTCTGTGACAGAGTAATAATGGGATTTCATTAGTGAATCAATTTGTTTTGCAAATGACACCTACTGTGGCACTGGAAGACAGCTGAGTCTGACTCAAATTGAACATTTCTTACAAAATATTCTGAAATTTGAAATTGGTCCCTTAATCCAAGTGCTCTTGTTCATGGCTCTCCTCTGTGGAGTACATAGAGTTCAGGAAAGTACAAAAGCTAAGAACAAAATCCCTGAGTGGCCCAAATGATCTATGTTGATATAAGGCAGGGGAGCTCAGCCCAGATTGGTGATTTCTTTTATCTCTGGTTTTATACCTCATTACCTATGCTGTCACATAAAAAAGGATGGATGGCTTCTCCATATTTATTTCTTTGTATTTCTGGGAGGGAAAATAAACTTTATAGAAAAGCGTCTTCTACGCAGAAGCTCTAAA